TGTTTCTCATCGTTACTGACATTGCAGAAGTGTAACTTGTATCCAACTCCGGTCACTGGAAAGCGGACAAAGCAACAGAACAGGAGTCTAATTCTGCACAGCATTTTCGGCACAGGAACACAGCCACAGATCCTCCGGTGTGCCATCCCTCCCGCCTCGCAGTCCTTAGAGTATGGGACGTGAGACGGAGGCTGGGAGAATATTCTTGCTCGCTTACTTACCCGCTTGTTTGATGTACCGACTTCTGGGAGTTGATTTCCGCCCGGTTAGATCATGACACGCACACGCACACAATATATATATATATATATATATATATATATATAATATATATATATATATATATATATATATATATATATATATATATATATATATATATATATATATATATATATATATATATATATATATATATATATATATATATATATATATATATATATATATATATATATATATAATATAGCATCTGTGGCTTCCAACGTCTCCAGCGAGATGAAATTCTGCCTTGTCCTCGGACGTTCACCAATGGACTCCTGGGTTGCAATGAGTGTTTCGCGCCTAAATGAATCATATAGGGCAACCGGTTCTGTCAGGTTTTCAGGCACTGTTAACCGATCAGAGATTGCTGCGGGGAACCTACGCGTCCACTCTTCCCCCAATCTGTCCATGTGAAATACCCTAGAGTGGCCACTGGAGAGACGGGGGGAATTAAAGTGAGCTCGCAGGGTAGCGACAACCAATCTAAGGTCAGTGCCAATAGAACTCGGCACTCCTGTAAACCCTGCAGTTCAGAGGGATCCTCCAGCCAGTGCTAACAAGGATGTGGTCGATCTCCTTGGCCACAATACCCGTATCGCGGATTGGAGCGCTGATACCAGGAGCCAGAAATCCTCAATCTCTGGGACTTAGCAAAGTCCGGGGAGGGAGGCTGTTCTTGCTACCGAGATCAGCTTCCAAGTCATGGGGACAGACAGATATCTCGTAGCCAGCTCGATCACAGCCGGATACTGCATTGAAGTCGCAAATGTCTCGCCGGGGATACACCAGAGATGCGAGTTTGGCACAGAACGCCTCTCTCACATCGACTTTACATACATCGATAGGAGCGTACACTGCAATAAGAGACAGAGCCAAAAGTGTGCTTCAGTCCATCAGACAGTTTGGTTTTCGATCCTCCCAATCGACTGATGACCTACTACTAAGTAAAAACTGGAAGAATGCTCAGGACGCCAGTCTAGACATTGAGTGTGGCACAGAGGGCTCCTCGTTAAACTACACGCAAAAGGCATAAGCAGCAATCTTGCAGTTATTTGGTGATTACCTCACAGAAAGAGCACTGCAAAATGTCATCGGTGGCCAGTTATCCTAGAAGTACCCGATACAGGCGTCGGTACCACAGGGATCTGTACTTGGCCCAATCATAAGGAACTTCCCGAAATCTTAGCGTATGCATATGACTGTACCCTTTCTGTTTCCAACCAGCGTAAGGATCATGACACTGTAACAATGGATAAAAATTCAATGTTCCAAGCAATGTACGACAATGGCAAGTAAGATTTGCCGCCAGGAAGACCCAGGCAGTGGTTGTATACTGCTCTTCAGCTGCATCAGTCGTCATGAAGACAACATCGACCTTCTACTCGAGGACTTTATTTTGGTGTGGACATAGACAATGAGCTCAGATATAACATACACGTCAGCTGGATCTACAAAACAGCCTTTCTGAAGGTAACAGCTCTCCGACGTGTATCTCACCTCATGAATCCTCAGAGAATTCTCACGCTGTACAAGTCCCAGATCAAACCACATCTAGAATATGCCTCGTAGGCCTGGTCGTCTACTGCGCCCACCAGCCTCAAAAGGTTGGATTAAACGGAAAAACGAGTTCTCAGGCTTATCCAGGAAGTCAACAACCCTTATTGTAGCAGACCCCCGCAACCTACCGCGGAGCATACTTCCCCAGAGGTTGGGTCACTCAGGTCCACAGCCGGTCCACTCACCCTCAAGGTCTATATAAGTACTTATATAGACCTTGCTCGCCCTTACCATCAGCAGCTTCTCGAAGACGCATACCGAGACCTGATTGGTTGACACAGCTAGCAACTAGTTCTTCCGTTTCCTCTCTAATTTTCGAACTTCGGTTCCTTTTCTTAATAATTTCGAATTTCGAGATCAGCACCCACCGATCCTCTAGCAGAGCAAGACCACAGCTAGCAGCACCAGGCCTACCCGGGCCATAACCGTCGGGGGAGCTCTCCACGTCGACCTCCCGCACCCAGCCATACCTGTGGGCACTCACACCCACATCAGTTACTCCTTTAAGAAATGATTAACACCAGTCAATGGCAGATGCAAGTCTACAGCCATATTATCACATCGACTCGCTGAAACATGGTCGCGACGTCGGGGCTCTAACCGTGCTCCACAAAGCTCAGGTGCAGCAGGTGCTTCATCTATCCAGCCTCCGTCTCCCACCGTACAGCCGAGAGAGAAGTACGAGGACGGTACACTTTAATCGGCTGGTGGAAGTTCCGAGGTCGCGGTCTACCCAGCATCATCGCACCTTCTCAGCTAGAGCAGCATGATTATAGAATTAATTCAAATCCACCACCGATGTTGCTGAAATGACCACGCAGCAAGTGAAGAAAGCGGCGCACCGGTGCGATGGCGGTCGAGCGAGAGAATAAGGAAGAGAGATAAGAGAGAGAGGGAGAGGGAGGGAAGAAGAAGAAGAAGAAGAGAGAGAGAGAGGGGGGGGGGTAACAATTAGCATCCCACAAGAATAAATGCTACATAATATCTTTGTTGAGACATTATTTGCGTCTCTTTGAGGACTTTATATACTTTTGATAGAGACACAATGCTTCAGGAAAAAATGAATAATAAGGGGGATATCTACTATGACACTGCAAATTATGGAAAATCTACTACCTGTTACTATGCTCTCCCCCCTCTCTCTCTCTCCCTCACTCAATTGTTTCTATACACAGGCAGATAAATAAATAGCTACTTTCACGTTTTTTTCTTTACCTCTATGTTTAACATGTATTTAATCATGACACAGACAAATGGGATGATGGGCGATGTATCTCAAGCCAAGGGGGTGAAATTCTGTTTGGGTGAAGAACCACTTTTCTAGGAAATAGCTGCATTTGATGTGTTCTATTCACACTGATTGTTTCTCTCTTTAATTTGAGGTTATTTACACATTAGCTGACTTTGGCCTATCTCGTGTTGAGGACCTTATGAATAGCAATATCTGGGTTCAAAAGCTTGTTTGACAGTTGTCTGGAAGACTGTTACTGCCTGATCAATGTCTCCCCTGTCTTCATGACACACTCATATTATATACCTACAGTGCATCTTACCTTATGTCTAAGCTTATCTCCATGCCATAAAATAGAACTTTTAAAGATGTGAGTCCGAGCTCAGCACAGCAGAGATCATTGTATGTATGCATTTGGACCCTAATTAGTAGTGTTGGTTATAAAGCATGTAAAGGGTTCACAGATTTAGCCGACTTGCATCCATAGAGTACTGACGAAAAGCTAAGAAAATAATAATCCCTACATCATGTCAATAAAAGATTAAGAAAAACACTTCTTAACCTGGGATTTAGCACACAAGGGTGAATAATGACAAATTAATTTATTCCCCTGTTAAGTATCCTAATGACACTGCTAAGTCTTTTCATCTCCCACTTGAATAGGTTCAAGATAAGCATAACTACCACTCTGACCTAAGATTCTTGGTTATGCTTTCGTAAATTATCATAATGTGGTTTCTCACTCACTAACTCTGTATTTTTTGTGTATATATTAGGAATGAAAAGATAAATTTCTATTCTTCAAGAACTGCTGTATAGCATGTGCAGTTGCAGGAAATATTTTTACTATAATAAACACCAGCCAACAATATAAACCACTCTCTGGAGAATTCAGCACAAAAATCAATCACTGATATCATGTAGTTATATAACAAATATATAAATTTCATATTCGTATGATTAAAGGGATCATCTAAACATAAAATAAGCACCACTTTGACTGAGTAGTAACACAATCCACCCTTTGCAAAAGTAAAACAAAATGGAAATGAATATTAACAGTATCAACATTAAAAGATAATGTTCCAGAATTAGGTTTTGGTCAGGAAACCAAAATCAAAATTAAAGTTCCCTCCTCCTTTAAGTTTCTCTAAGTACATATTATTCTCATTTGATCTTTTGTAAAGCATAATAGTATCCATATGGCATAATTCATTTTGTCTTCATATTTCCTAAAAGCAAAATTATCCAAAGATCAAGTTGCTAATACAACTACTGGAACACTGCTTATGTCTTTTTTTATTGCTATTATCAAAATTCAGAAGTATTTCTTTCAAAATAACAAAGCCCTTAACACTTCCTTTTATGCTTTTTTTTTGGGGGGGAGGGCTTTTGGCTTGCTTATTTTACTAAATATAGAATCTTGGTACACCAATTCTGTTTCTGAGTACATAATAGGTACCCTATAAACTGCCATTAAGGACAAGATGTAAAATTTGCCCGAGGTATAGGACTTCCTGCATTATATAAACCATGTAAATCTTCTTTAATCACTAAATGCAATACCTAGAGAAAAAAAAAACATAAAATAAAGCTGAATCGACTAATGGGCTTTAGCTTGTCTTACAAGTACTCTAATTGGAAATACAACTAAAATCGATGCATGACTTTTAATATGTGAATAAAAGCTAGATTTCCTACATGTCACTTTATTTCTTGTGTTTGACTCAATTATGGTCATTTTTCTATTCCTAGACTTTTATTGATATTAATTTATCTTAGACTCCTGGCTGATACTTGAATTTCCTATTTTTTACTTTTTGTATTCTCATATCAAAGACAGTTTACAGAAATTGATGTTCGTATATCCCCAAATCTTATATACTTTGTCATTCATACAAGTTAGCTCCAAAACTGCACCTTCAGAATGAGATAACTCAAAAAAACATTTTTGATCTTTTATCTATTTATTTCTTTATACAAAATCAAAACAACAAAATTATGTACATAGTCAAATTTTTACTAGAACAGCAGATGGCAAAAAAATTCAGCCTTTTCAAGCAACTTTGGTGTTCTCCCTATCGCCTTCTTGTTTTCCTGAGCAGATTCTTTTCTTTCATGGCCATCGTTCGTAATCTCCTCCAGTACTGCTTTGTGTTGGGGTCCATGTCCCTCAGAGGTGGTGGTTTACCTGAAGAAAGACCCACTTTTGAGTATTTTGCAAATGTATCACATATACCTATACCTATATGCTTCATTATGAAATTTAGATACTGGATAAGCACTGTATAACATGAATTCTATGAGCAATTCTGAATGTATAAGCTTACGCTAACTTTACACTTTCTATGGATTGTTATTCTATTCGTGATTCTGGACTTCTGTGAGTTTTTTGCTTTATTTAGAATTTTAATCATTAGGATAAAGAAAGATGTTATACAAAATAATAAAACAGCATAGCCAACTGGGTGACTGACCTATTTAATTCAACGAGACAGAAATGAAAATCATCCTTTATCTAATAAATATTTCTTACTAATAGATTAGTCATGCACTAAATTTTGACTTACCTGTCCTTAGAGTCCACAGCCAATCTGGGTATTCAGAATCATCTTTCAACTGGATATCTTGTGGATTTTCCTTCACTGGGTCTGATCCACATACATAATTTGCTAACTTCACGGGGTCAGTCTCTACTGGAAGACGCTGTAAAAAAAGATACCATGAATCTCAATCATGCTTTGATATAAAAACAAAAATTGACCTTCCAATAAAGAAGAAAAAAAGACCAATATTCTTTTAATCATATATTAGGTATGGGAAAACTAAGTGAAGTCAGTTTGGCCAACTGACTGACTGGTAACTAAGCTTTTGTGGAGCCATCTAGGTGTGAAGAAAATTCACAAAGAAAACAGAGAACATCAATGGATTTAAATATTTACCACTTTCTCAACAGCTGGACCAAGCTTTGCTTTTCCTTTCATCTTGGGCACTGTAACATAAAAACAAAATTAATTACACGACATTTAAAGACTCATCATACCCTAATCAAAACGGGAGGGAGGCAGGAAATAAGGCAGAGATATGTGTTTCCCATAACTAAGAGACAAGAATCTTCAGGTTATGTCGTATTCTTTAAATACAGCTTTGAAATTCTGAAACAGTAAAACCTTGTGGTTGCGGCATTTTGAAATAATCATCATATGTTAAATCAAAATTTTATATGGATCTACATATGCAGTACATTGTATAAATCATAGCTTGGCCTGCTCCACAGTGCCAAGGAATATAAAAGAGTAAAAAAAGAATCATCATACCCACAATACAATTTTAAAAGTATTTGTGTCAAATCGCTGACATTTCTTCGTTAAGCAAGTCGTTTGGCCAATTGTAATGAAAGGAAGTTATATTGCATTACAAGGTAATAAAACATGTTCCTTAATGAAAATTACTCAACTACCAAAATGTATGAAACTTCTGTACAAAACTGAAATATTTCACTTTAGAATTTGGCACTTCTCATATTGTTTTTTTATATCATACTAATATTTTTCTTTTTACATCTAAAGTTTGAACATAATATGTATGTAGAAATGTAAGAGCTGTTTCCAATTAAGAGGGTTATCATAATAAAATGCTTCACAGGTATAAAAAAAAAAAAAAAAAAAAAAAAAAAAAATGCATCAAATGAATCAGTGTTAGCAGAAATCATAAAGTGTACATCATATAAACTATACAATCCAAAATCTATTTTTAAGATGACCTATATAATCTGGAGGGTGATCAGGGAAACTGACAAGAATCTAAGTAACTGGTGGCATCCTAGGGAATTAATACAAGGATACAAGGCTTGCCTTGGGAGGGAAGGCTGAAGAGATGACAAAAAATGGCTGCACATGTCAGGAGCTAAACTTAATCTTTGGAAACCTCCCATGGACTCAGGAGAGGTTAGTTCACAAGCAGGGCAAGGAATGGGTTCTATGGCATGTCCTCATTTATACATTCTGTAATGATATACACGTAAGAACATATCACCTCTCCAATGTTGGCCCCCAGGACAACGTGTCTATACATCAATTTCAGAGGATACATCTGGTTTCTTTGACATGACATCACTGTCAATCATGACTTTTAAATCACTTACACAAATCAGGTCCTTAATCCCACACCCACTATATCACCCACAGCCCTACTTCCCTTCTAAAGGCCTTATCGCATTAGCACTTTTTCTGTCAATTTTTGCATTTCAATCTGAATCTGAGGCTTTCTGTAGGTGTTGTTTGCAAACGGAATATCTCCCAGATTGAGACAGTAGTGACCTTTTTTGTCTGATTAATTGCTGTCTTGATTTTCTAATGTTTATCTTTTTATTTCTTTATTGGTAATTAGACAGAATATAGTTCATATATATGTAAGTTAATATTCTGAAATATATCAATATACAATATACAATCATATTTCTTTAATTATGATATGTAAGATATATATGAGAATACTTGTGATTTCCAGGACCTCACACCGATGGCACCATGTTTGTTCACATGGGCACTATGTCTGCTTCCATCATAATGTGATAGACTATGTCCGTTGAACAGAAATTTCATACGGAAAAAGTGCTAGTGTGAAAGGGCCTTACCATACTCCAGCCAATTGCACCTTGTTCTGCTTGTGAATGAAACATCGTGTCTTGTAGTAATTATGGTACTGTATGGCATATTTCATCCAGCCAAACTCCCTGCTCTCTTCCTCTTTGGCTTTCCCCAACTAAGCACTACATTATCAACACACTGGATCCTGGTGGCATGGTTGTCATATAATGAAAAAATTAAGTTGAGGTTCTGATGACAGGAATATGTTGTTATCAAAAAATTTGACTGAGCGCTGAGATGACAGAAATGTGCCATCATAAAAAAACTGGCTGAAGGCCAGTCTGGCCGGAATAATTTGCCTTGAGTTTACAAAGCTCTTGGAGGAAGAATAGACTCAATAGGCATTTAGGAAGGGGCTCTTGCATTAATTATTTCCATTGATAAACAAGGGTGGAATATAATATATGACTTGGATGGATGAGCACCAGCTACATGAGGGACCTTATTTTCCTGCTCAGGATTCAATTTGGAGACGTGTGAGCAGCAAAGTATCCAATTACATCAAATTACAGATCAATATATCAAAATACACATTTTATTGGTTAAACTATGATTTCAAGCATGTTCTATTTCCATATCCATGTGAATCTATCTTTATTTTTATATTTATGTGATAGGTAACTGTGATAACTTTATCAAATCTGTGCTCAACTGACACTCTAAATACCTAATATATGATGACGGAACATGCAATTTATGATGCTTAATGTGAGCTCTCGAAATGCCTGCTGTCAAAAACTGTCTAAGTGAAACGAAAAATTTACAGCAGGCATGCAGCATATTGACGCCCATGCAAGACTGTTGCCAAATCTGCTGACTCCCTCTTGCCTTCAATACGTAGAGGATTCTTTGTTTCCTGGGCAGCGGATGGGGGTGGTGGCTGCCACCATGGAGGGTTCACAGGGGGCACAGCTCCCTGCATTAGACAATACAGCAACTGATTATGTGCATATCCCAGATTGTAGAGTATTCTTCTAGCGCAGGGAATATTACTTTTTATCATGCGCTGAAAACATAATTTTGTCTATATTTGCGTGGATGGATCTGTGGACGGACAATGAAATAAGTGCGCGGAAAGGTCGAAGGTCTTTTAAGCGCAGATGATGATTTGAAAAAGAACTAATTGTGCATGGGAAGTTACTCGAGAAGTACATTTGTGCAGACAGAATTTGACCAAACTCTACAGTCTGGTGCATATCATTTATATTCTAATCTGCAAGGCCAAGAATGTAGGGGGTTTGGGGGGCTTCTGCACAATAATTTCTATATATTTGGAAACTAGACAGTGATAGGAATCCAAGAATACCAAAATCGTTGCGATCCATTAGGTGGATGTTTTCCAAAAAAATACCGCTTTTGCTTCATGATTCATTCAATCATTGAGCTTGCAATTACATTACGTTTATGCATATCTCTCAAATTATGGTTTGGGCGAAATATCAGTTTAGTACATTAAGTAAACTATTACAAGTACTCAGTAACAAATATTAAAACAAAAGTTATTACCGCATGAAAAATGTCATCAAATCTACTTATTCCTTCAAATCTAGAATAAAAATTACTTACTTGCTGGTTTGGCATAATTCATATGTTGAACGTGGGTGCATGTTGGAAGAAGATAAGACTGTGGAGACGTTACATTTAAACAATTCCGAATGAGACTCAAGATAGAGCCATGTCTGCTTAGTAAGGCCATGTTTACATTCATTTCAGATCCAGCACTGTCTGGTGAG